CTAAGTTTAATTTGCTCCCTATATAACAGAGAAACTAGCAATGAATAGTTTATGAAACTAATAATTCTGAATTATGTGAAAATAACTTTTGCAATTTTTGAGAATTATCAAGATTAGGTTTTTTTCCTATAATTGTAACCTATTAAATTACACTTAACATGTGATTTACAGCATTTTATTTTGTATTTGATATTATCTATTGAAATAATATTCCATACAGATCCCTTAAAATAACATGATGTAGGCAAAATCAAAATTTTAAAATACAATAAAAATTCTTAAAGCCTTACTTGGAAATCCTGTTTGGATTTAGCAATTAGAGATAGACTAATAATTTCCTTAGTTCTTATATGTCCTTGCTTTGAGAATGTTTCTTTGAAGTAAGAAGATACTATTTGAACTCAATAACTTTTGTTGAGAAGAAAATTTGGAACCAACATGATAATCCTAATCGAATTTCTGTGAATACAATTGTAGGCGCCCCCCCCCCTTTTTTTTTGCCATGTACTGTGCTTAGGACTTTCTGTTTGCCCTTCATGTTCATTCTCTGAGGTTGGTAGTCGGGTGCACATTTTCTAGAACCTGCTTCATGGGAGGCAATGGGCACAGATGAGACACTTAATACCCTGGTCGTCCCAGACTCTCAGACTGTGAGCTCCTTGAAAGTTGCCAAGTAATGAAATGGCCTTACAGTCCATTGCTGGCCATGTAGAAGAAAGTGGGAGTAGGAAGTTGCACAGGACTTTTTTTGAGTGTCCAGACAGTGGGCAATAGCTACATGTAGCCAGTGAATAATTAGACAAAGAATTCTGATCATGCTTCAAATAAGCTAAGAGAAAACCACATTTGTAAGGACGTTAAAGTATGAAAATACTTTCATGAAAAAGAGTTTTTGGAAAATTATGTGTTCAAACTCACATCTAATTTTGCTGGGGTTAAATGTAAATAATCAGTTTTGTAATTTGCTATCCAGTATATCAGTGAACAGCTAGGATTTTTTACTTACATGGAGCTATGCTTTGTTCCTTATAGAAAAGTTTATTCACATCTTATTTCCCCTGAATATTTTTTCAATACATATATGTGTATAGTTGAGCCTTAGTATTTGTGAGCTACCCATCTTTTAAGTAAATACATATATTTATATATATGATTGTGTTTAAAGTTGTATTTATAAACATGTATGGATTTTTTGTTGACATTTTATTCCTTAAATAGTATAGCAACTCTTTACACTCTAAGTCATCTAGAGATGATGTAAAATCTGTAGGTGGGTGCATATAGGTTATAATGTAAATAAGACCTTATTTTATCAAAAAGACTTCAACATTGTGGATTTTGGTTTGTGCAGATGTGAGATGGGGGTTCTGGAACCAAACCCCTGTGAGTAATGACTGTAGAAATGAAATAATGGAAGGTACTTAAATTCTCTGAGGCAGAAAACTTCAAGATCTGGGGCTGGGAAGGTGGCTCAGTGGTAGAGTGCTTGCCTTGCATGCATGAGGTCCTGGGTTTGATTCCTCAGCACCACATAAGCAAAAAGAAAAAAGCTAGAAGTGGTGCTGTGGCTCAAGTGGTAGAGCGCTAGCCTTGAGATGAAGAGCTGAGGGACAGCGCCCAGGCCCAGAGTTCAGGCTCCACGACTGGATCCCCCCCCCCAAAAAAAAAGAAAAAAGAAAACTTCAAGATCTGAATAATATTTATAGGTTAAGTTGAAATAACTCATTTATAACTTAAAAATTATCTATACAATTCCTTTTAAAAACGTGTATTTTCTTAATTAGATCAGGAATCATAGTTTGAATATTAGTCATATTCACATTCATCAACCATCACATAACAATGTTAAACTCCTTTATCAGTGTAACTTTGGATTTCCCAAAAGTCATCGGCACCCTGAAATAGAAGACAAGAATCTACCAGGAATAATTTTGCTGCTTCTGACCTACTCTATTTTATTTATTGCTGATATTTGGGCTTAAACTCAAGATACTCAAGGCTGTCTTTCACTCTACGACTTGAGCCATACCTCCAAGTATGGCTTTCTGCAGATCAATTGGAGATAAACATTTCATGGGCTTTTCTGCCTGTGTTGGCTTCATACCTTCAGCTGCAGAGCCACTAATGCTTGGCTATTCCCTTTATTTTTGTTGGAGTTCAGTCATAGTACTAAGATCTTTTAAACTATTTAAGCTCATTTTTATTGTATCCTTAAGTCTCAAGTAGAACTAGTTGTTCAAAACTTTCCCAAAGGAAAAATATCTAAGTGAAAAATTATTATTGTTTGGCCTGCCAAATTTTGATCAAGGATGTTTGATCAAGGAAGGTGGGAAGGGAAAGAAGGGAAGAAGGGAACAGAAAGGTGGGAAAAAAAAGTGTAAGCGTTCAGTAGGGATTTTTACTCTAAAAATTTTAAAAGTGTTTTCCTTCGGGCTGGGAAGGTGGCTCAGTGGTAGAGTGCTTGCCTTGTATGCATGAGGCCCTGGGTTTGATTCCTCAGTACCATATAAAAGCAGAAAAAGCTGGAACTGGCACTGTGGCTCAAGTGGTAGGGTGCTAGCCTTGAGCTGAAGAGCTGAGGGATAGCACTCAGGCTCAGAGTTTAGGCCACACGACCAGCAAAAAAAAAAAAAAAAGTGTTTTCCTTTAAGCCAGGTGCCTGTGGCTCATGCCTGTAATCCTAGCTGCTCAGGAGGCTGAAATCTGAGGATCATGGTTCAAAGCCAGCCTGGGTAGGAAAGTCCATGAGACTTTGATCCACAATTAACCACCAGAAAACTGGAAGTGGCGCTGTGGCTCAAGTGGAAGAGTGCTTGCCTTTAGCTGAAGAGCTGAGGGACAGCACCCAGGCCCAGAGTTCAAGCCCCATGACTGACAGAAAAAGTGTTTTCCTTCAATGCTCCTGTTGTAAGCTTAAAAACATTTGACTAAGTACTTCATTTTGTGGGAAAACAGCCCAAAAGTGATCTGGTTTTCTGCTAAGCTTTTGACATCTATTAGAACTGTTCTTGCGTAATTGTAGGTTTTGTTTCAAACTGAAGTCCGTTTAATCAGCTGTGTATTTCCAACTTCCTTCATAGATCAGAGTGTTTAGAGTGTGCTCACACAATGGTAACATAGAATATATGCCAGAACAACAAGAGAATAGCCTAGATAGGATGATGGAATATACCTATGGTAAAGACAAGGAAAAGTCTTAAGATGATGACTGTCCTCTGTTGGAACTAGTGTTTGCAGAAAAATTAAAGCTTTGGGGGGGGGGGGTCAGGGGGAGGATGGGAAGGGATGGGAAGGGGAAACAAAGGAGGAGGCTACAATGCTTGATAAGAAATGTACTCATTATCTTGTCCATGTAATTGTAACCCCTCTGTACAGTATTTTCACAATAAAAAAATAAATAAAAATTAAAAAAAAGAAAAATTAAAGCTTTGATTTAATCCAAAGTGAAATATTTATGAGAATTTTAGGAGCTTACTGTGAGGAAATTTTCAATTCCTACCTTTTAACTTGTTTTGAGACAATAGTCATTCAGAAAATATATTTAACAGAAAGAGCAATTTCCCTAAATTAGATGATTCAATTTATTTGAGATTTGAGGTGATATACAAAATACCTGAGTTGGGATTTTTGAGTATATTTTATAACACAAGTCAGACAACCAGGATATGTTCAATTGAAAAACAAAAAAATAAATAAAGAATTAAGCCAACAAGAAATTAGCATGGTTTTGTAACAGATATTAATATTAGCTGACCACTAGGTAAATCCTTGAGTCTTTAATCTTGCAGAAAGCATTTGGTCACCAAAGGACCTAAAACATTTTCTTCTGAATAGTGGAAGATTTGAGAGCTAACTAAAGCAAGCCTTCATAAAAATATTTTTAACATACTCAACAAACCATTCCATATGAAAAAAACCAAAACTATAAGTATATAAGTACCTAAGAAGATGAGTGAAAGAAACAGAAGTCAAAAAAAAAAAAAAAGAAATTTTACAAGGAAAAAAAAAAAAGAAACAGAAGTCAATTACAATATGAATCTTACTGCTATTAGCCAGATCTTTAGTGTCAGATCTGTGGAAAGGAAACTCCAATTTAATCATATTTAAATATATAGATAATAGTTATATCATCAAGTTTCTGGTCACCTGCTTAATGAGGCAATGTTAGGAGATCCTAAATGTTCTTCAGTTTTTTTTTTTTTGTTTTGTTTTGTTTTGTTTTTATGCCGGTCTTGTGGCATGAACTCAAAGCCTGGACACTGTCCTTGCTTTTTTTGCTCTTTCACTTGAGCTACAGCTCCATTTCCAGCTCTTCAGTTTCTTTGGGGGCAGTATGTAGTAAAAAAACACTAGGAAGATGAGAACATACTTGCTCTCCCTTTAGCAAAGCAATCTAGCATTTTCAGTTTACATTATTACACTCTTACCATTAAAAAAAAAATAGAATCTCACTAGGTGCCTGTGGCTTACTTCTGTAACACTAGCTGTTCAGGAGGCTGAGATCTGAGATTTGTGATTCAAAGCTATCCTGGGCAGGAAAGCTTGTAAGATTATTACCTATGATTAGCTACCAAAAAGCCAGAGTGGCCCTGTGGCTCAAGTGGTAGAGTCCTAGTCTTGAGAAAAGAAGCTTAGCACCCAGGCCCTGAGTTCAAGCCCCAGGACTGGCACACACACAAACACACAGATTTCCTAAGTAAAAAAATGCTTTCTCTTGCTGGGCGCTGGTGGCTCACGCCTGTAATCCTAGCTACTCAGGAGGCTGAGATCTGAGGATCGCAGTTCAAAGCTAGCCTGGGCAGGAGAGACTGTGAGACTCCTATCTCCAATAAACCACCAGAAAACCAGAAGTGGCGCTGTAGCTCAAGTGATAGAGGGCTCGCCTTGAGCTGAAGAGCTGAGGGACAGCACCCAGGCCCAGAGCTCAAGCCCCACAACCGACAAAAAAATAAAAAAAAAAAAATGCTTTCTTAAGTAATATTTGGTGACATTTCTCATCAAAACCCATAAAACTCTTCCAGAAAAATAAAGCAATACTTTAAGATATAAGATATGAAATCCTCAAGGAATTCTTAAAAAAATACATTGTTTCCATCCTCATTTGTTCATATAAAAAAAGCAGGTAATTTTACACTGCCTCTCCAGCTCGAAGGAACTCCATTTCTACAGTGGCCTTCTTTGGTCTCTGGGCTGAGCCACTCTTCTTTCTGAATTCTGCAGCAATTTCCTCAAAAGACTTTCCCTTGGTTTCTGGAACCTTAAAAAATGTAAACAATGTAAAGACCAACACCACTCCAGCAAAGAGAAAAAACACGTAAGGTCCACAGAAGTCCTGGATAGAGAACAAACAGAGTTTCAATTAGCAGCTATTTGACTTGCTTTCTGTTCAGTAAATTTGCACAGTGTCAGGCTCTTACCGCAATGTACTGGAAACACAGAGCTACAACGAAATTACAGGCCCAGTTGCTGAATGCAGCTAGTGCTAAGGCTGTGGGGCGTGGTCCTTGACTGAAAAACTCAGCCACCATGAACCAGGGGATTGGGCCTGGTCCAATTTCAAAAAAACTGACAAAGAGGAAGATGGCGGTCATGCTCACATAGCTCATCCAAGAGAACTTGTCCTGAAGAAAAAGCAAACCAAGAGCAAAAGTGGGTCTGGAATCATTCACTGCTGTTTCTTTAGCAAAGTAGCTTCTACGAAGTTCAAGGATGGACATGACCCTTTTCCTGACATGTTGTGTTCTATTAAGTTCAAGTCATTCTGATCTGAAGCATGTGAAATCTTTCGAGTAATCCTCTGGATTAAGACTTCTTTTGATCCTTAGTCACTCTGTTCCTGTTCAACTCCCCCCACCCCCCCAAAAAAAATTCGGTATCCTTTGCTTGTACCATGGTGGTTGTTAAGTTGTGGTTAACACTGGACTTAGAGAGCTTCAGGCAGTTGCCTAGGAGGCATTTACAAGATTCTCAGCATCTAAAACAGCACTGAAGCATCTTGGGGCCTGATCCCAGAGTCCCTCCTTTGACCATGAGGTTACAGTCTTCATTGATAGCAAGTATGAGAGAGATGGTGATATTTATTTAGTCTGTAAGACCAAGAAACAAATTTGCCTTTCCTTCATATATCCTTTGTAGTTCATGTTGTTCCTCTGGCTTTGTTTCATCAGTCAGTCTTAAGGATTTTTTTCTTGTATTAATTTTATATTTATGTGACATAGAGGAATTGAACCCAGGGCTTCTTACATGCTAGGCAAGCACTCTACCAGTAAACCACATTCCGCTTAAAGATTTTTGACACACAAAACACTTTAACCTGTACCACAGATATGTTATTGAATGGTAAATATCAGTCCAGGAGTGAAACTCACCAGCAGCACAAGTCCCACAGACATGAAGATGGTACAGAAAAACATCCCAATCATTCCGATTAGAAAGAGAGACCGCCGCCCCGCCCGTTCCACAAGCAGTACCTAGGAAAATTAAAAAAAAATCTTGGTCTTATGTGCCATAGAATATTGCCTTTATATTTTATGCTTTATATATTTATTCCTTTTTATGGAGTCAGACTTTGGTAGAGAATGATGAAGGGCTAATTAACAAAGGTCTGCTTTATTGGGTCATGAATAGACCAATCTAGAGAGAGAACTGTAGTGTTCACATCACTCTAGGATTATCCCATTTAGTATAATGGTCAGAGGCTGTACATCATTTACCTCTTTCAATAGGTCATCTCTACATTTAAAATGAGAAAGATCTCTGACAAAGTGACATTAGTTTTTCTCCTGGTGATTATCTTAAGGTTTTTTATTTGTTGTTGTTGTTGGCCATGGGGATGAACTCTGGTCCTGGGTGCTGTCCCTGAGCTCTTCAGCTCAAGGCTAGTGCTCTACCACTTGAGCCACAGTGCCACTTCCAGGTTTTATCTTTTTGCTTATGTGGTGCTGAGGAATCGAACCCAGGGCCTCATGCTTGCAAGGCAAGCGCTCTACCACTGAGCCACCTTCCCAACCCCTACAAGACATTTTTATCCTGTCATCGATTCCTTTGAGTCTTTGAACCTGCCCATTAATGGTTAAGATTTACTATTAACTCAAACCAACATTTATTGAATAGATTCTTGCCTGTCTGATCTGTGGACACTGCCCAGGCTAGACTCACACATACACATCATAATTCCTCACCTTTCTAAGTAAATTAGCCAGTAATTCAGCAGCCATCTAATACACTTAGTATGGTGACTTCTGTTCAGAAAAGACCTGAGATATATTTCTTTTCCCTGACAGTGAGTGCTTTTCACTTCAGTTTCAAAATCACATAGAAAGGACAGCCAACAAAGCCCACATTTAATTATTGAGACAGAAGTAGGAAAAAATCCAAAACTTTTCTCAAATTTCTAACAGTAGCTATGTATTTTGACTTTTAATTATAACTTTAAAGCTGGCTTGATGAGACCATATCAAGGCATACCAAGAAAATAGAAACATTTCTTCAGAATGAAGATTCCTACGATATCTGTTTCTTCTGTTCCAGAGAAATTATTAATTGGACAAAAACTCTATACATGTGTTGACAATGAGTTGGTCTCTCAACCATTATATAAACTCAGATACACATGATGCAAGGGGTAAGGCATGGTCAGTGGCTAGGGTGGCTACTCTACTACACCTTCATCTTTGCCTTAGACTACATGTATCACACAGATCTTGCTGGAGAATGGTAGCTACTGCTCTCTTTTCCAAAGCACTCATTCGGAAAACAAAACCAGATTTTTATGTTGCTTCCAAGTTGTGAAACATTTATATGTCCTCAGGGGAGGCTTGTATTTTGCATAGGATGCACAGAATTTAGTAACATGGTTAATTTGTGGGAGAGGAACTTGACAAACACCTGCTTCTTTTTTTTTTTTGTGCTTTTCAACTTGGGCAGTACTGGGGATTGAGTTAAGGGCCTTATACTTGCAAAGCAGGCACTCTGTCACTTTGCTATTTTCTAGGTAGGCTCTTGCTTAATGCTGAGGCTGCCTTGGACTATGCACTTCCTGCTTGTGCTTCCCCATATTGCTGAGGATAACAGATTCATACTGCTGTACCCAGCCTTTGAGCTTCCCCTATAGCTGGGACAATAGCTAGGCTATGACACCCAGCGATGGAGTCTATCAAACTTAATACTCCCTGATCTTTATATCCTAAGTAGGGAGAATTATAGGCTGGAGCCACTGTGTCTGTGTTTTGGACTTTAAAACTTAGTTTCTTTTTCTTTTCTTTTTTTGTCAGTTATGAGGCTTGAACTCTGGGCCTGGGAGCTGTTCCTCCGCTCTTCAGCTCAAGGCTAGCACTCTACCATTTGAGCCACAGCACTACTTCCAGCTTTCTGGTGGTTTATTGGAGATAAGAGTTTCACGGACTTTCCTGCCCAGGCTGGCTTTGAACCACAATCCTCAGATCTCAGCCTCCTGAGTAGCTAGGATTACAGGCGAGAGCCACCAGTGCCCGACGTGAACCACTTTTAATGAACAAATTAATTGAAAATTTAAATCTATATTCTTGGAGGATTAGTGAGGTAATGAGAACTGATTTTATTATGTCAGTTATCAGAGAAAAATAAACTTTTTAAAATAATTAAGACTATGTTAAAAGAAAAACAACTTCTTCCACTCTACTGAGGTTGCTGCAGGGTAAAGAAATGAAATTGTACAGATGCTTCATCTGTAGATTTTTCTCAGAATTTGATTTCCCCAGTCTTGACAACTTGATGCTTTACATAGCAAATTTATTATAAGCAACATATTAATAATAATCTCTAGTCATAAAAGTGTGTTGAAACTGGATATATTAAAAAATCAAGGAAACATAAAAGGGCAAATAGTCACTGGGACCACATTCCAGTAACATGCCTTCATTGACTTAGAGCAGTCTTTTGGATTGAACAGGTTTAATCTCTGAAGTCATGCCTGTAAACCACTCATGTTCTGTTGGTGTTTGTTCTTCCTCCTCCTTCCAAGGTCCAGTACTGTTTAACATGGCCAGGCTGTAATTTATTGACCACCTCAAGGTAAGAGTTAAAAGTCCATGTGTAGAGAAGAAAAAACAAGTGCTAAAATCAATTGAGTACAGTATTATGACCAAAATGTTTTAAATATTTTGTATTCAAAACTAAAAGTAAACACAGTTATTCTCATTTTATAATCAATTATATTACTTTGTTTTGTCTTTGTAGTTCTCTTTTTTAGATTATGTTAAATACTATTGAGATATTGGATCATTCCTTATATAAGGTATTTGGCTTTAAAAAGCGCATATAACCTCTCATTGCAATAATAATAGCATTTTTCATTTTATCCTACCTCTACCCCAGTCTCTCATATTACACATACTCTGATTAACAGATGCTACACACTTGTGAAAGTGTGTGGAAGAAAAGGAATTCAGGAACAGTACTTAATCTTAGTAGAACTGACCAGCTGTCAACTAATCTTAAGGAATTTAAGTACAAGGCAGTAGAGAAAGAATCCAGGGACTTAAACAAAGAACAAGTCCCCTTGTCTCTCCATTGGCTGTTAATTTACCCATCAGTGACTCCCTAGCATCGCAGCCGCAGGAGCAGCCAGTGATTCACCTTAGTTATGCCAGGGCAATGGCTGGTTTATCACAGAGAGGACTCTTGTCAGGAAGCATGTAGTTCTGCATACCCAGTGCACGTGGACAAGGCATTAGTTACTTTTAAATCACAGATCATAAGGAAGAAGCAGTGTTTATCTAAGGTATTAACTCACGGAGACAGCAGTGAAAACCATGTTGATAGCACCAACTCCAATGGTTGCATAAACAGGTTGGCTGATTCCAGCAGTCTGAAAAATGCTGGTTGAGTAGTAAAAGATCTGCAAAGTAAAAGAGATTAGCCTTAATCAAGAAGCCTCAAACTGATGCCTTTTAAACAAGAAATAACCTAGACTGTTTATTTTTGGTTGATTGTTTAGAGTTTTCTAAAGGTATTTTTCACTGTCACGTTCCAGAGCAGAACCCAGTCGTCCAGTAAGTGTTTACCTTCTGATTGCATAAAAGTCTCAATGTCTGACATCATAGATAAATTTTGCCAAATCTCATACTCCATGTAAATGAAACCACATAGAATATCCTATTTTTCAATCTCGCTTCTTTGTTCAGTATTTTGAGAATCATCCTTTTGTTTTGTTTTTGTGTCAGTCCTGGGCTTGAACTCAGTGCTTTGGTGCTGTCTCTGAGATTTTTTTGTTCAAAGCTAGCACTCTATTATTTGAACCAGAACTCTACTTTGGCTTTTTGGTGGTTAATTGGAGATAGGAGTTTCATGGACTCTCTTGCTGGAGCTGGTTTTGGACCACAGTCCTCATATCTCAGCCTTCTGAGTAGCTATAAACAGATATAAACTGATATAGTAGCAGTAAATGGATAACATGCTTTCTTATTGCTCTTTGTGTTTGCAGACTGCTCATTATCATTTCTATACAAAATTTTGGTGTATCAGTATACCACAATTTAGGTATCCATTCTATTCCTGATGAGGATTTGGGTAACTCATTTAGGGTGATTATGAACAGTGCTGTTATAAACTTTCTAACAATCCTTTTGGTGAAATAGGCATGTGCTTGTACCTGAGAATAGAATTGATGGACAATTGTGCATGCTTTGATAGATACTCCAAATGATTATTCATATAAAAACAATTTTGTGTTCTCATTGGTAATTGTAAGATTTCTGGTTGCTATTGCATTTAGTTCAAAATTTGCCTTTTTAAAAATTTTCAGTTCCTATCAAGGGTCATTTTATTTATTTATTTTTATTGTGAAAATACCTTACAGAGGGGTTACAATTACATGGGCAAGGTAATGAGTACATTTCTTATCAAGCATTGTTGCCTCCTCCTTTGTTTCCCCTTCCCAACCTCAAAATTTGCCTTTAATCTCAGTAGGGATAGAGAAATTGGGTTCATAACATACTAGTTTTGTTAAGTAACAACTGTTTTTATATCTGTTTTTCAAATTTCTTTTTGATGGTACTGAAGCTTGAACTTAAGGCCCCACCTTTTGCTTGGTAGATGCTGTACTATTGAGCCATTTCTCCAGAGCCCTCCCTTTTTTTACACTTTTTTTTTTACACTTTTTTTTTTTTTTTTTTTGAGATTTTGCTTCCTGTCTGGGCACATTCCTGGACCATGATATCTATGTACCTTTTCCACAAAGCTGGGATGACAAGCATGCACCACTGTGTGGTCTAGAGGGATCTCACAGACTTTTTTCTTTTTGGTCATTTTTATCCTTAAACCATGACCTTTCCTATTTTAGCCTTCCAAGTAGTTAGGATTACAGGCATGAGCCATTAGCACCTGGCAATATGTTTCTAATAGCTTTGTCAATCATTCTGTCATTCTTCTTCATCTCTTTTCCACCTAACACATCCTTCTTGTCGGCACTTTTTCCTGCAATCTGTGCAGACTGTGCCAACCACTGCTGGCAGCGCAGGGTCAGCATTTCCTAGTGCCTCTTTATGTCAGACACTGAGGTGAAGCTGGAGCAGAAAGTTCAGAGAGATTAAGTTTTGTGCCATTTTATATAAAGGCAGAACAGAGAGGATATAAACTTTGCATTAATCAGACTCTATACTATTAGAAATCCTAAATTTCATACTCAACTCTGTAATTCGGTATTTTTTGTGGAATTATTCTCTGTTGTATCTTTGCATTTAGTATAGATTTTTTTCCTTTACCTTAATAGAAATAATGTACTACAGACTTTGTGTGTGTGTGTGTGTGTGTGTGTGTGTGTGTGTGTGTGCGCGCGCACACGTGCGCATGTGTGTGTGCCATTCTTGGGGCTTGAACTCTGGGCCTGGGTGCTGTCCCTGAGCTCTCTTTTTGCTCAAGACTAGCGCTGTACCACCTGGGCCACAGCTCCACTTCTGGCTTTTTCTGCGATTAATTGGAGATAGAGTCTCACAGACTTTCTTGCCCAAGCTAGCTTCAAACTGCGATCTCAGATCTTAGCCTCCTAAGTAGCTAGGATTACAGATGTAAGCCACCAATGCCTGGCTTATATGTCTCTATATCTTAATTCACTTTTCTTCCTTATAGTTAGAAGACATTCTTAGACTTACACCATTGATCCCAGAGAACTGCTGGGCCATATGCAGCATGAGTGCCACTATGATAGGTTGTCGGTAGCTGGGATTGGTGAAGAGCTGAATTACAGACACTTTCTGCTCACTTGATGCTTCTTCTTTTTCTTTTTTCATTTCATTGAGGTCTTTGGTGACATCATCACTTCCTCTGAGTCTCTTTAAGCCTGTTCCCCCAATGATCATATTGAAATAAATCACACAAAAATAAATTTACTTCTATGTCCCTTTCTATGACTTAATAGCATAGGCCTTGGAAATTCTTTGTTAAATATTGCTCTTTGATGGAAAAAAAGTACAGAACAGTTGTCTTTATCATATGACATAGAAAACTGATCATAATGCATTGAAGGGTCTTTTGGGAGCCTCTGATTAAATCCAATACCTGATGTGTGGGTATCTGGCTTGGGCTTGAGCGAATGCTTACAAGTGTAAAATGGCATGAATCAGTCATGTTAAAATGACTTTGCACATCATCTTGTATGTGATCATTGACTTCATTTAGAAGGCATTGTTACTAACTTCAGGAGCAATCATTCATGTACATTATTTTGCATTAGCTGCTAATTCCAAAATAACAGGAAGAATGAAAACCTCCTCCAAACTTTTCTTTTTTTATTTAAATTTAAATTTTTATTTTTATTTTTTTTTTTTGTGGGGTTTTAACTCAGGGCCTAGGCGCTGTTGCTTAGCTCTTTCACTCAAGGCTAGTGCTCTACACTCAAAGCTACAGTGCTACTACCAGTTTTCTGCTGGTTAATTGGAGATAAGAGTTTCATGGATTTTCTTTCCCAGATGTAAGCCTCCTGGGTAGCTAGGATTATAGGTGTGAGCCACCAGCACCCAGCTCCAAACTTACTTTTCTTTGCTTTGACTTCCTCTTCCAATGTGATGTAAAGGTATCTGGGGCTTTCTGGACAGAAGAATAGGAGCAGAGACTGGAGGAGTGCTGGTACAGCAGACAGGCCAAGCAGGATGTGCCACAGATCATGATTGCCCAGGATAAACTCGAGGCCAATAATCTGAAAGAATAAGGAGAAATATTAGCTAAACGACACTGGATCTTTCTACTACACTTTACTGAAAAAGATGATTAGTTTTTTAATAGTAATCCCTAACAACCTTGGCTCATGCATCTCACCTTAATCATGGACAATTAGTTTGACAAAGAATTGATCTAGGTTTGTTTCCATTAACTCCAGTTGGACAATTAGAATGGAAAATTCCAACTTTCAGTCCTTTGGTTTTTTTAAGTATTGGAATTTGAACTCATGGCCTTGTGCTTGCTAGACAGATGCTCTTATCACTTCACCCATACCCCTCAGTATAACTTAAAAACACATTTGATGTGTGAAACAACATATGGTTATGTCTCCAAGCAGCTAGAATTCATGCAGAACTTAGGCTTTTTAAAATTATTTCTTAGATTTCCCATAACATAAATAGATTGGGCTATATAAATAGAAGAATTCTTGATCAGAACAGCTTTATGATTGATATCTGTTGCAGTGGCTTACAGACCACCATTGAGATAATCATAAAGTATGGGGTTCCAATGCCTCCTCCTAGGGCCACAAGGTAGGACTAAGAAGAATAGAGCCAGATAAATAATAGCTCCCATGATAATCATTTGGATGGCAGATTTCTAGGTAAAATGCACAAAATAAAGGAAACACATGTAGTCACAAGTGTTTTATAGTCCTTGATATCAAGTAGAATAATTTAATTCTGAAATAGTGTTGGAAGTTTCAGTTCCAACAACAACTCCAAGAAGACAAGTGATGAGTGGCAGTAATTTAATTGCAGCTTAAAAGCCCGTGTTTCTACAGTATTTCTACTAGCAATGTTGGAATTGTTTGTTTGTTTTAATTTGTGCTGGTTTACAGTGAGAACGGACAGTCAGGGAGGGAGAGAATAGATTAAATAGAAGATGGGTATGGGGATGAGGAGTTTTTACCTGACTAATGAGAATGCCAGTGACAAGGGCCAGTTGATGGAGAGTGCCAAGAGCACCTCTGAGTGTCGTTGGAGCAATTTCACCAATATACATGGGAACCAGTCCTGAAATCAGCCCTGTACCAAATATGAGAGAGAATTGTTAAAGTGCAGCCAGTAATATCTCAGTAACAATAAGTTGGTTTAAGTACAACCAGTATCCTGTCTGAAAGTCTCTGATGCTTTTGGAAGGAAGAGCTCTTGTCTCCAGCCATAGGCACTGTTGTTGATACACCTTAAACACTTAGTCATGGATTTTTGGCAATTTCCATAGTGTTGTCTTAAGTTGAAAAATAATTCATGTTGCTATTAAGTTTACCTCACAATGCCTTAGGTTGTCTTGAGATTGAAGAACATTCATAATATTCTTAATCTGGACTCATTGAATTGTAGGGAATTAGAACTTCAGCAGCCTCTTGGTAAAGGTAAGAAATGGCTTACCCATAATGTGCACGAGAGCATGAATATGAGGACTACAGGCCAAACTGAATCTCCATAATGTGCAGGTGCCACATGGTCACCACTGGGGTGGTGATGGGGATGAAGAGATGTAGAAGAAATAGAGGACCTCAAGAACTCGTCTTTAATTAGGGTGACCCACTTCTTCATGCCCTATTCTTTATCCCATTAGTATATTCAGTTTCAGTAAATATTTGAAGGAAGACTTTTTGTGCTTAACAGAATATATAAATCTTAGACATTATTCTTTCTGCAGCTGTCTTAAATGTAGTCAGTCATGTTGGAAATGGTGATGTAACCAGCCATTTGCTGATTGCAGTGTTGAGTATTTTCTTAAGAATTAAAAAACCCCAGCCCACATGCCCTATAATAGATGAGTGGATCCAAAAAAATGTGGTACCTATACAAATTGGAATTAGAAAGAATAATATTATGTCCTTTGCAGGAAAATGGACCTACGACAAACTATGTTAAATGAGGTAAGCCCATAGCTAAGATATGGAACCAACCCAGATGCCCCTCAGTAGATGAATGGATCAAGAAGATGTGGTATATATACACAATGGAATTCTATGCCTCCATCAGAAAGAATGACATTGCCCCATTTGTTAGGAAATGGAAAGGCTTGGAAAAAATTATATTAAGTGAAGTAAGCCAGGCCCAAAGAAACATAGGTCCCATGGTTTCCCTTATTTGCAATATCTAGTATAGGTATGAGTCAAGCGGAAAAAGTCAGAGAATGTGATGTTAGGAAAACGAACCCTCAAATATGTATTTTAATGTTTTTGTTTCTTTCATGCATGTGTTTCTAATGCATTTATAATATTATTTCTTTGTTGCTTTGTATGTCCCTCCCCCACAGTGTAACCCCCGCTTTCACTATATTTGAAGTCAGTATAACATGTGGAGGAGATGGGGACAAACAAGTCGTTTAAGGATTCAGGTGGACCTGTTGCAACAATGAGAAGTACAAAATGTCATGTCAAAACCAGCTTTACAATGTCGGTGGGGGGGGAGGGGGGGTATGATTGGGTGGGGGGGAGGGGGGAGGCTGGGAAGGGAGGTGAAGGGTAAACAAAGGAGGAGGCTGCAATGCTTGGTAAGAAATGTATGCATTTTCCTGCCCATGTAATTGTAACCCCTCTGTACAGTATGTTCTCAATTAAAATAAAATAAAATTAAAAAAAAATAAATGAGGTAAGCAAAGCTCAGAGAGCTAAACAACCATATTTTCTCTCATAAGCAGAAGTTTGATCTAAAATACACTGGAAAATGAAAAATTATACAGGACTCAGGCAATTCATACACAGTGAGACCAAAGGAAGATACTCTTAGGGGAAGAACACAAAGGTACAATATTTCTGTGCATCTGATCATATAAAATAATATTTATCAAAATGAACTCTAGGAAATGAAGGTTTTTTTCTCTTTTGCTGTTTTTTCTTTGTGTCTTTTTATCTGTCTTTGAGATGGTAAAGGGGGTTACAGAAATTGAGGATGAACACATGTATCAGTGGTACAACTTGTGTGTAGGGATGGGAAGGAAAAAACTGGGAGAGTGCCAGGGAAAGGTGACATTGTTAAAAAAAAGTACTCTTTACCTGACTTATGTTAAACTGCTCTGTACATCATCTTTATAATAACAAAACAAAAAAAGAATTAAAAAATAGGCTGTCTCCAGAAGAAACTTCTTATAAATCCTGTCAAGTGGAAGTTTATGGTCTTTATGTAAAAGATGCTTTGGGCAATTATTTTAAAAATACTAATATTTCACAATGTTCTTAGTATCTCTACTTAGGCACAATTTTATAGCTGACATAAGATTCTAGCTGGGTTTAAATAATGGAGAAAAACATTTATTTGGCCCTATTGGGATTGTACTATCTTTCTGTAAGACCTATTACTGTACCTCAGGAACAGTATAATAAGGTAAACTTTCAGATGTGAAATCACAAGAACATAAAGTCATTTATGTTTCTTATAATTTTAGTAACTGAAATACTCAAAATAAGGTCATATGCAATTTTGGGGATTGATTTCAGGGCCTTGAACATGCTGAGGAGGTTCTCTGACCTTGAGCTACATCCCTCATCCCTAAGTTATTAACCATGAATATTTTAGGCTCTTGTTGCAATTGATCATAAAGATGCATAGAATTGTGGTATTTTCTTCAGATAAAAGTGTTAGAAATCTTTTCTATGCAAATTTAGGTCCTCATCATTCCTTCCCCACTACTGTTGGTATTACTGCTTTGAAGATCAACTTTACTTTGTGAAAATGGGTTAATGTGTTATCTTATAACCTCAGAATCAAAGATGCATTTGCATTGAGAAGTTAAATATTTGTCCATTTGTTGTAGAGATTGAATGTTCCTATCTTTGTTCAGACCTGTGCCAATAGGGTTGCTTCAGAAAATTTGCAACTCTTTCCATGGAATATCAGTTCTAACTCTTCAGACATAAAGTTCATGGAGCTGGAATTTTTCCTGTGTTTCAAACTTTACTAGTTAGTTGTGCCTGATTTCTTTTCTTTGTCCATTACAGGATACCACCATTGTAATGCTTCATACAACCATATCTGAAATCAAGCAGTTAGGGACTATGGTCTAGAGATAGGCCCTGGTTACAGGTCTTGTCAGAAATGAGCAGCAAAGACAGACGCAGTCAGCTAGGCCACAGGACAGGCTTGGCAGTCTTCCATTGTCTACTGCACCATAAACTAATAATAACAGCAGCTAACACTTAATAGAGTTTTTCATATTCTGTCCCTAATATTTTACATGTATTCACACAATTACTCTTAGAGTAGGTACTTTTATCTTCTTCATATAAATGTGAACACATTAAGAGTCCTAGGTAAATGATTTGTCTGAAATCAGACAACTAGAAATGATGTCATTGTGGTGGGCTAGAACATACATACTATTAAATCCCCTAAAACTGATTTCAGCCCAACTCAGGAACATAATATTTTGCTATTTCATTTCTTTCTGTGATGCCACCATAGACTCAGATATGTCTGCATGTTAGCACACTTCTTGTAGACAAACTGTGAGACAAAGATGCGTTAGTGTGTGTGCATACATGTGCATGTATGCATGTGCATTTGTCACTTACCACAGTAGAGTCCTGATATACTTCTTCCTGCAATTATAAGGATATGAGATGGTCCCAGTTTGGAAAACCCCATCAAGAGAGCTCCAGCTAATGAGAGACTGTTTGCTACCAACATGGCTTTGATTCTGAAATTTTAAAAAGCAAGAAGGATACATTTTGCATCGAAACTTGATAAAAGTCATTTGATTTCAGGGAATGTTGAATTTTTTTATTTTATTTTATTTTATTTTTTGTTGGTCGTGGGGCTTGAACTCTGGGCCTGGATGCTATCCCTGAGCTCTTCAGCTCAAGGCTAGTGCTCTACCACTTGAGCCACAGCTTCGGTTTTCTGGTGGTTTGTTGGAGATAAGAGTCTCATGGATTTTCTTGCCTGGTCTGGCTTTGAACTGTGATCCTCAGATCTCAGCCTCCTGCATAGCTGGGATTATAGGTGTGAGCCACCAGCGCCTGGTGGAATGGTGAACTTTTTACCTATGACCAATTGTTTCAATTTTGCTATGAAAACTAGTTCAGTAATCTTGAACCAAGATTATTATTTTGGTTCATCCATGGCCTAAAGTATTAATAATAAGCAACATTGATGATAAGAGAAGTTGAGCTTCATATACCTGACTATCATCTTCTGGTAGACATGATGCACTTAACAAAGATTTAAGATAATGCTTTGGGTGCTTTTTCATATTTTTTTTCTACAAATTAATTTAAAGATCAATTCTGTTGTTGTAACCTGTTACTTGTTTTTCTTTTAGTAGTAAAGGTTTTTAGTTGATATAGATAGGAGAACTTTCAAAGTCAAATTTCCATTTGTATAAAATTTTGGAAGAAGTTTACATTTAGTTTTTTTATTTAAAATATTTTTCCTTTTTGTTTTTTCCCACATATACTTTTTTGGGGGGATAGGTAGGAGTGAAGTTGGTTGTGGGGCTTGAATCCAGGATCTGAATGCTGTCCCTCATCTCTTTTTGCTCAAGGGTAGCACTCTACTACTTGAGTCACATAACCATTTCTGGTTTTCTGGTGGTTAATTGCCTGTGCTGGCTTTGAACCTCAATCCTCAGATCTCAACCTCCTGAATAGCTAGGATTATAGGTGTGAGCCATCAGCACTTGCCTCACATATACTTTTAAAGTTTATCACAATTACTTTCATTTTAACACTAATGTTGGCATATTAACCAGCAATACAATATATATTACAAAGCTGACAGTGGCAACAAACATTACTTGGTAAATAATAAGAAAATTTTGCAAAACCTTCTTCAAGCCGGGTGTGGTGGTTCATGCCTGTAATCTAACTACTTAAGAAGCTGAGATCAGGAGAATTGAAGTTTGAGGTCAAACTGGGTAAAAAGTTGACAGAAACCTTAGCTCAACTATTTAAAAAACTAAGTGTGGTAATGCTTGTCATCTCAACTATGTGGGAAGCATAAATAAAATAATTTACCAGCCTTGCCCTGAAAAATGCCAAATCCTGTCAGAATAATATTGAAAGCAAAAGGGCTAGATGAATGATTCAAGTGGTAGAGCACATGTGAACTGAATCCAAGGCCTTGAAATCAAACCCCAGTATCACCAAAATAATCAAACACCTTCTTCAGCGTAAAATGGTAGCCACAAATCTCTACTGATACAACTGCTAGTAAAGTTTTTTTTTCATTTTATCAATAATAGAAGGAATATACTTTTAACTAGTGGAGAAATAGTAAATTTGTAACTCCTGGCAGTAAGGAATATTATGTTTCTCATTGATTCTTCCTAGAAAAATAGTTGAAATGATGTTTTCTTACTGTTTTTCAACAAGTTTTTGTTGAGAGCTAGAAGAGGCCTCAGTTTCCTTTATAATAACCTTTGTAATAATGATGATGTCTTGGGTGTAGGACTGATGTTAAATCATAAGACTTCAGAGAATAAACCGTTGTGTCTTAATTTCAAGGACACTAACTGAGCATTTCAATGTAAGCCATTAGACCTGTCAGAAACTTCTCTCTAAATAAAGGACAAAGCCTAAGGAAGGGCAAGTAGCTGCTAAAGGAAGTATTTATTTTTCACTTTAAATAATGGGAGAACAACAAAGGAGGGAGTAATAATTCTCAATAAGAAATGTACTCATTAACTTACTCATGTAACTGTATCCCCTCTGTACAGCATCTTTACAATTAAAAAATTAATTTTGCTGAGTTTGGCTTACTTTACAAAGAATCTAGAAAATTCTCCATTTATTGTTTAATTTGGTGCAAGTTGAAATGATTTTTACGTTTTTAATGATGAAAGTCAGTTTGTTAGTTCTGATTCATGTAAATTCTGATTTAAGGTTTAATCAGAACCAAGGAGTTGGTTTAAAAAAAAGTAAGAAACTGACCAGTTGATTTCCTTTTACCATGATAGCCTTTAGATAAGATTTTAGATAATAATATGACTTTATAGAATAAGACTCTATATAGTCTATATATATAGAATAAGACTCTATAGAGTCTTATTCTATATAGAGTCTTATTCTATAAATTCTGGTATGAAAGGAAGAAATCAGAATTTTACTAACTAGAGATGTAAAAACTACAACTTATTGTAGGAGTGGTAAACAGATTATAGATTATAGTCCAGAGTTAATAAAGGAGTTATTAGTCCTTTAAAAGTTTTTACATTTCCTAAGTTTTCCATATTCATCATGTATCTTTTTATCATGATAATAAAAAGAAATTATTACAAAACTTAGGTTCACAGATCTAAGGATGTAATCATTTGGTTTTTCTCATTTTATTTTTTCCCCCATATTGGGTAGGAAGTTTAACAACTTAACTGTGTCATGTGACCAAGTACAACTTGAGGGTAAAGGAGTTCCATTGATGTTTTTAAACCCAAAGCAAACATGTAATAGAAACACATAAATGGAATTGTGAAATGCTTCAGCTTGCTTTATCACTGGCTGGGGATTTGCGATAGTAGTGGCTTTAGTAGCCACTAGAAACCCTACACCAAGTTGACAGGATTACTGGGAGTTGGTAATTTTGATAAGATTTTATGTCTTGATCCAAATGCCAATTTCTAATTTAAAAATGAAAAGTAGGCCGGGTGCCAGTGGCTCACTCCAATAATCCTAGCCACTCAAGAGGCTGAGATCTGAGGATCATGGTTTGAGGCACGCGGGGGCAGAATAAGTCTGTGAGACTCCTATCTGCAATTAACCTCTAAAAAGCAGGAAGTGGAACTGTGGTACAAATGGTAGAGACTAGCCTTTCACAAAAAAGCTCAGAACCAGTGCCCAGTCCCTGAGTTCAAGCCCAAGGACTGGCGTGCATGCGCACGTACACACACACACACACACACACACACACACACACACACACACACACACACACACACACACACACATACCCACCCACACACACACACACACACACACACACACACACACACTCCACCTGGATGTCTGAGAAATTGTGATTCATTGAAGTAAACAGTGGCTTTCCAGATTAGAAATTGTAATCTGTCCCTTCTGCTGAATTCCTGAGTTGATGGTTTCTGCAGTGGTTTTTTTTAAATGTTTCATAATTTTAAAAGTGAAGTCTAATATAAAAATATACACCAAATTCACCTTTTCAGTAAATGTCTCCACAATTAGCTGAGTTATTGAAACAGTATTTTTCCAGTAATTTGATTTAATGTTGGCCTGCCTTGTGGGGTTATGAATGATAAAAACAACTCTAAAACCATTCCATAAAAGGAAAGATGATATCTTTCTAAATGAATTCTAATACCAGAACACTTAAGTTTCTGTGTTTATGCTTACTAATTAATAAAACTTGCCTACCTTCCAAGCTTGTCCCCCAGCCATCCACCAAAGAAGGATGCAACCATTCCACCAACTGCAAAGCTAGACACAGACAGGGACCAGAGCATGGTGATTAGGCCCACAGATTGTCTAGCCTCTTCCTCAGCCAAGTAGGTTGGTGTTGAGTCCATTGGGGGTGTGACTGAAGTTAGAGAATCTGTCCTGTTGACAGCATAGGTGTTAGTAGCCTTTCGGTCATCCAGTGGAACACTCAAAACATGTTTATAATGGGATATTATTATCTGATAAAAGAAAATAAAAAATAAAAACCCATTATTTCAAATAATCTATATTCAACTTTCTTTTGAAATAGTTGCTAGATTTTTAAATAGGGCTGTTCCAGTTGTGTGTGTTGCAAAATTATGTGTGTTATAAAGCAGAGGTTACTAATCCTACCAAAAGCTACGAGGCAGGAACAGAAGGGAAAATGAGTCATAGAGTACCTTGATGACCAGAGCTCTAAAATCCATTCTCTACTACTGGGTATGTACCTGGGAGTCATTAGCTTGTGGAGTGGTGGCATTTGTCACACCTGAAGGAGGAAGCTGTAAAGTCAAAACTAGTATTAGGTTACCTTTAGTAACCCGATACCTGGACCACTTTTTGTACATTTCAAGTCTTAAATTGAAAGTATTTTTTCAGGTGAAAAAGATACATTTTTATTACCAGTCTTTCTCTACACAGCAGGTTTTATGTTGACCTAAATTTAAAAAGATTGGGAAAGCTAAGATGAGGTAAAAACTAAATAGCATACAAAAAATCCAAACATTCTGTGTTACATGTTTTGTAGACATGAGCTATAAAGTTAGCCATGAATTTCCACTAATGCAAAGAGAAGAAAAGAACCAAGCTTGTGATTAATCCCGTAGATAAAACAACTTATGATGACTTCTATGAGTTCTCATTGATTTGAGTATATAACAGTGTTCAGAACTAAATTTCATAGGGTCATGTTTTACAGTGCACTATAGCAGAGGCAAATAGCGTAACAAAGTATAATCAAGTAGAAACACATCCATCAGACCATCTTCCTCACATGCCTTTCATCTCAGAGGTGATCTGATCACTGTTCAGCTGCAATGAGCTGAGTGAGAGAGCCATCTCTGACAAGGACCTGGGTTGTAGCTTCTCACTGTTAACAGTTATGGGCCAAGTCTTGGTTTAAAGCCAATGGAGTAAAAATTGACATCCTCTTACAAAATAGATCTGAACGAGGCATTTGTCACAGTAGATGACCACCCTATATGGACATATTCATAGAAATAGTGCTGGAAGGAAATATACAAAAAGTTCTTAGCTGTTTGCTCCATGATGGGTCATTTGTCTTATGTTTTCTGCAAGAAGCATCTGTAATTTTCATAACCATAAACTATTGAAATGCATTAAAATCCAGCTTAAAAATTTTTGGATGTCAGAATATTCATTCTTATTCAATGATGCATAAATGGATCTTTAAACCCAAAGAAAGGGCTGCTGTAGGAACCTGGAAGCCAGTTGAGGGCTCCCATTTCATCTTGGCTCAGGGATATAGACTGAAGGAAGGGAGACTTAATCTTTCCATTATAAAACTAGTAAGGATATGAAAAGGTCTTGTATAAGGTAGGTGGAGGCCTACCTACACCAATAATGTGCTCAATTTTTAGGAGCCTGCCACATGGGCAATTGCTGTTATCCACAAGAAGAGAGATCTCAGTCTCCTGATACCCTGTATCTTAGCCATAGTGAGGTCTGTCACACCTATGTGCACCTAAAGAAAGCACATCTTTTGACTTGAGGAGCAGTTCTCAGAATTTTATCTCCTAAGCACATTCTTTACTCAACATAGGTGATAGGAAGAGGAATGGGACCCCAATCCTGCCTCAAATTACAACTCACAAGTCTGAGTTGTAGGGGAGGGGAATGAAGCTCTGGTTTCCCTCTAACAGGCTCTGGGAACTGGAAAGACTGAGATCCCTTTCCTCAGTGTGCACTAGAAATTGGCGTAATGAAATACAAAATAAATGAGAAAATGGTAGAAATCTGATACATATTTTAAAAATTACCATGCTAATAGTTACCTTGAGAAAACCCAAACTTTGTCAGACATCTTAACTGTCATTAAGTTAACTTTAACATTAAAGATGTTTTTGGATACTAACCCTGGGGCTTAAACTCACGGCCTGGGGTGCTGTCCCTGAGCTTTTTTGCTCAAGGCCCACTTGAGCCATAGCTCTACTTCTGCCTTTTTGGTGGTTAATTGGAGATAAGTCTCACAGACTTTCCTGCCTGGGCTGGCTTCTAACTGTGATCTTCAGATCTTAGCCTCCTGAGTAGCTAAGATTACAGATGCGAGCCACAGCATCTGGCTTGACATTAAAGTTTTGTGATATTGTATCATTATTCACCTATGGGAGACAAGGAATGAAGGGAAGAACTGTAATCTGAACTGTAATCTTTTTAGTGTTAGGTTTCCTAAAGTTTAGAATATGGCCTAGGAATGAGCATACTAAGGTTGTTGGGAGGATCCAGTTGGGGAAACCATATGCTGAAGTGCCTGATGCAAGTAATAAGTAGGCGTTCGATAAATGTACATTGAATAAAACACTTCCTACTATCGTCCTCTTTCTTCCTTAGAATTTTCCATGTGTACATAGCTGAAAGCTCTCACTGAATCTACAGTGAGCTTTTTTTTTTTTTAAAAATCACCAATAAAAACCCTCCCCCCCCCCAAATTCCTGAACACAGAATTCTAGTGAGGGTTTTCTGTGAGCTCAGCCAATAACAGAGATGAAGTCAGAGTTGAAGTTACTTATTACTTTCAGTGTGTGTGTGTGTTGTTAACTGAGGAGTCAAGGCCAGGTTTTCAGCCTGTACATTGCACTTGGCAGGGCAGGATTACTCCATGTCCTTCACGTGGACAGCCTTTATCTCTATGAGTAAGGAATGCATGATATTCTCCACACAGGAGGAACTGGCAAAACTCTCCCCATAAAGGACTCATGCATGTTTCACTTGCCTCTTGAGGTGCATTGATCACACCAATGTCATATCCAAACTGGAAGGAACTCAGCACAGCAGTGAAGACAGTGAAAACCAGGGTTCCAGTGATCTGTGGGGTGAAACGCAGAGCTGGGAAACATCAGTGACTCAGTATCCAGCAAGCTGTAACTTGGGAATATTTATAGGTTCTGCAGGCTTGTTCTTTCCCTTGATACTCATTCCCAATCCTCCTTGGAGGTGTCATTCATACAAAAATATGAAAACACTCATCATTTTCCTTACAGAGTTAAAACTAAAAAGGTTGAGAGAACTTTTTCTACAGGATGAACCAGGATGAACTTAAACACCCTTTTCCTTACATTTATTTATTTATTTATCTTTGCTGCTGGTACTGGAGCTTGAGCTTGGGGCTTTGAACTGTCACTTGACTTTCCCCTAACCTTCCGGTGACTGGTACTTCTACCACTTGAACTATGCCTCCAGCTCTGGCCTTTTGCTGGTTAATGGGAAAGTAGAATCTCCTGGATTGGTTTGCCAGGGTTGGCTTTCAAGTGGCAATTCTCACATTTTAGCCTCTTGAATAGCGAGGACTACAGGCTTGAGCCACTAGTGCCCTGCTTACATACAGATTTTTTAAAATATTCAAAATCAAAATTTAAGAACTAGAACGGCCACTGAAGGAAAGCAATTGCTAAGATAGAAGTAGTCATTTTTGTCATTGGGAACATCAGTAACACAAAGACGGGAAATTTGCCCTGATACAGAAATACCACAATATGTATAGAAAGGATTGTAAGAATGTAATAATAATATATATTATACAACTTATGTATCTTCACTGGCTTTATCATTGTCTCACTAATTGCTCTTGCCAACAACCATCTGTCAACTTTCATGCATCACCAGTAATATTTGCAACAGTATCACAAAATACATGAAACTATCCACATTTTGCAACCAAGAAGCCAGGCTCAAAGAGTACTAAGGGAGTGGCGCATGCTTGTAACCCTAGCTACTTAGGAGGCAGAAAACAGGAGGATGGGGATTTAAGGCCAGGCCAGACAAAACCCCATCTCCGAGCAAACAAGGGGGTGATGTGTACCTGTTATCCCAGCTATACAGGAGGTGTAAAGTAGAAGTAGATCAGGCTGGCCCAGGCAAGAAGAGTGAGACCCTACCTGAAGAAGCAGAAGGAACAGGACAGGGCACCTGCTTAGCAAGTGTGAAGTCTGGAGTTTAAAAAGTAGTAGAGCCAGGAAAACAAACCAACAAAGGAAGGGATGTGCCTTAAACCACACAGATAGTCTGTGACAGATAACTAAATGTGGGTCTCTGAGCTGATGTTATTAAAATCTCATTGCTAAATAGAATTTTAGTAATTGTTGATTCGGTAGGTAGGAAAAAGAAACGTAGGTGCTTTCTTCTAATTCACATTATTCCAAAAGCCAGGCCAACTGTCATCTTGAACTCAACTTTAAAAAGGCCAGGGACTTCTTAAGCCATAGAATTCTCAGGCTGAAAGGGAGTATAGCAAGCAATGGCATCTTTCATTCCATCATTTTTGAGTTGTAGAAACTGAGGCTCCACAGGCCAAGTGCCCTGTCTGAGTCTGAGACATGCTGGGAGTGACATCCCAGTTCTCCTGACACATGGTGTTATAGTTATCTGATTTACTCTAAGTTTTAGATGGATTCATAAAGTTGGAAAATATTGCTCTTTTTGGGTTCATTATTAGGCAATTCCTTAGTTCTCAGGGAGCATTGTAGAATATAATTTCTAAAGCCTAATATTTAATTTAATAAATGAATATTTGTGTATTATCCATTAAAGTTCTAACCTTAGCTTTATTCTGGGATATAATATCCACAAAACCATGATCTGCTAGGTATTTAATTATGTAAATAATCATATGAACACATCATTATCATTTATACATTATATGAGTACATATGAATACATAATCATTAATGTTAAAATATTTTTCATCTAAGCTGCTGTAATATTTTATTTAATCATGTTAAAACCCTAAGAGATTACCACATTTAGGGATTACTATGATCCTGAATAGCCCCTATTGCATTCCAAAATTTTCTTTTATCATTATTCATTGAATAACTTAACTCAAATCTGACAGCAGGAAAATAGTCCCACATTAGAATCAACATCTATTCCTTGCTGACCTCAGAGCTCGCTCTTTGACCCTGTCACTTAGAAAATGAAGAATACACTGAAGAGTTGATCTTACTCTCACAGAGGCAGAGATGTTTCAACTTGTATTCTTGTATACAGGGTGGGTGATTTTGGTTGGGAGAGACTTAAAAGGGAAAATATTTTATGGTTTTTTTTTTTTTTTTTTTTTTTTTTTTGTGGACTTAAGAGCTTGAACTTAGGGACTGTGGTTCCTGAGATGCTTTTGTGAAAAGCTAAGGCTCTACCATTTGAGCCACAGTCCACATCCAGATTTTTTTTTGTGGGAATTTAGTCTCACAGACTTTCCTGCCCAGGCTGGCTTTGAACCACAATTCTCAGATTACATGCATGAGCCACCAACATTGGCTAATATTTTATTTTTAAAAGTATTATATCTACAGAAAAAATGAAATCATGATGAGGGTAACACTATATTCTTCACTTTTATTCAGCAGTGGCTAATGTGCACCAACCACATTTAATTCTCACTGTGTATACATATGTCATTTTGGCAAAACCATTTTTAAAAAAGCTTCAGATTGGGTGGGGATGGGAGGAAAAAACTGGGAGACAGTGAGGGAAGCAGGTGACATTATCCAAAAAAGAGAAATGTACTCTTTACCTGACTTATTTAACAGTGACCCCTCTGTATATCACCTTTATAATAACAATAAACTTTTTTTAAAGCTGTACATTATGTCCTAACTACTTCACCATGTACTTGCTAAGAGCAAAGACTTCTTCCTACAGGATTACAAAACTTTTGTAACATCCAGTTATATAATATTTATGCTAATATTAACTAAGATACAGCGTACATTCAGAATGTCATCATGCCCCTTATAGCTGTTTTCTTCTTCCCTCCATAATATAAGATCACCTGTTGCTTGTATCTCTTCTAACCTACGTTACTCTTCCCATCTTTTTTGTCTTTTGTACATTGATATTATTGAGGATTTCATGATTAGAGGCAGATTAATTTGCTCTTTATTGGCGTAGGGTATATTCCTTCAATAATACGATTATACAGAATTATTTGGAAAAAAGTTATTCAGACTAGTCAGAAAACAACAGATGTCCTTAAAACCCCAATTACTAATAAAAACAGGTTTTACTCAGCTGCCAGATGAACTTTAAGTTGGCCAAATAGAGGAGTTACTTTGATCTGAGGTAGCTATACCCGACATCTCCAAAGCTTTGGAGATGACTCACTGACTTATATTTTCCTACTCATTTCCTTACAGCCAGTTGCAAAATGATCCAAATGGAGCTTTACCTTATCTTCTGCCATTGTGTAGGTTGGGAATCGTCTTCTAAATTCCAGGTCAGTATTGAGAGTAGAATGAGTAGCTGGCCAGCCACTGTCTCTGTGTGCCCAGCTCTGCTAGTTATACATTGTAGGAGGAGGAGCAAGGCATGGAACGGGCTCTCTAGAGTGAAGTCTAATCTTAACAGGAGCTGAACATTGATGGGAATTAATCAATCTGTCCTTTGCCTTGATGACCTGTGGCTTCAGTTGCCTTTGTTGCACCAAGAAAGAAAATGGAACAGATCCTTCTAAGTGTGGCAGGAACTGTGGACAGGTGAAAATAAAAATCTGTGGGATCTATTGTAGATGGTGAGATGGGCTGGGCTGTTCACTGTGTTGTATGGATGACTAAAGATGGGCAGGGGAGACACAAGGCACTCAGATCTACAGTCAGCCAGTATACTGTGGTGTTTGTGCTTCAGAGCTGGGTAGTTCAATCAGAGACTTGACTGGTTACTGAATGAGATTTAGGATGTTAAGAACTGGGGAGTTGAATCTCAATATTTTTACTGGGAGTGACCTTAAAGCAAGTTCTCACTGACCTAGTTTTTTTTTTAACATGATAAAATGGAAATAATAGAACATACTTTTTATCTTGCTGGTGAAATTAAGTGAGATAATACATGGACTGTTTGGCATAGCATAAGTGATCAACAAGTGCTGGTGGTTATTATTGCTGTTATTGTTGATTTATTGTATGTCAAGTTGCCTTTGCTGGATGTGATCTTGTTCTCAGATAAATCTGCTTACATACCTTCAGTTTGTTCCTTTCTAGGTTGTCCATCCAATCTTTGAGGGAGCCAAGAAGATAGCATAATTGATGATGCTTTCCAGTAGACTCATGTGTACCCAGCTTGCAGCCTGCAAAGTGTGCAGCAGCATTAGGAGAGGCATGATGAAATGGGGGCAGTGAAGGGACAGATGAAACCTGCGTTTCATTTGTTTTTTTATTTTGCCCACATCTTTTCATTTCTCTCACTTCTGCAAGTTAAGACCCCTGAATCTTTAGTTTCAGAAGGTATATAAGTCAAACCACAAACTTGAATGGAGTCTAATGCAGGTAAGGGCAAAGGCTTCTCTTGGGGATTAACCTGAATGAGTCTAAACTTGGCCAACCAGGAGTACAGCAGAACATCTGAAGATCTGAGTCCTTGAAGCATGCCAGTGTATTTTCAAATTTCTGAACCAAATTTGTCCTGAGAAAGTAAAAGGGCAAACTCTGCCCATATTCCTCTCATCTACTCCACAGATGCCCCTCCCTGGTCCAAACCAGTATCTTCCTGTGAATATCTGCCCAGACTCCTACCTGGCCTCACAGAACCCTTCCTGCCTCAGACTGCTTTCTTGATATGGAGGTCAGAATTGATTTTAAAGTTAACTATATCGCTGGGTGCCTGTGGCTCACACTTGTAATCCTAGCTACTCAGGAGGCTGAGATCCCTATCTTGGTTCTAAGTGAGCTGAGGCAGGAAAGTTCCTGAGAATCTTGGCTCCGATAACCATCAAAAAGCAGGAAGTGGAGCTGTGGCTCAAGTGTCAAGAGTGTAAGCCTTGAGCAAAAGAGCCTCACTCAGGTTCCAAGTTCAAGCCCCAGGAGGTGCACACACATAAAAAGTTAACAAAAGGCATGAACAGAATTTCACCAAAGAGGATATGCATATGACAACTAATAAAATTTATATTCAGTGTCACAGGACATTAAAGAAATGTAATGAGATAACACCGCATAGCATTCAGAATGGCTAAAACAAAAATAATTACAATATAAAATGTTGATGAGAATGAGGAGAAATCATTCACACATTTTTGGTGGAAAAATAGTATTTCCTGGGCTGGGGATGTAGCTTAGTGGTAGAGTGCTTGCCTTACATGCATGAAGCCCAGGGTTTGATTCCTCAGTACCACATAAACACAAAAAGCCAGAAGTGGCACTGTGATTCAAGTGGTAGAGTGCTTGCAAAAGAAGCTCATGGACAATGAAACCTATTTAAATTAAGTTAATCTCATTAAAAACATCCTAATGGAGGCATCTAGTATAAGGTTTGACCAACAATCTGGGCACTTAAGGCCCAGGCAAGTTGACACAGAAAATGAACCATCATAATGTATAACATTTGAGATTATTTTCACTTGGCAGAATTTTCTCAAAGTGCATCCAGGGTTTTATGTCAGTAATTTTTTTTAATTGCTGAGAGGTATTCCATGGTATAGATGTACTACAGTTTATCCATTTGTCTTTGATGGATATCTAGATTGTAGTGCTTTGCTATTATGAATAAAGCTACTATGCACAGTTCTGTAAAATAAAACAATTTTTGAATGAAACTATACCTTTTCCCAAGAATAGTTTCTGGCTCATATGATAGTTGTGTATTTAGTTTTATCAGAGATTGTGATACTATTTTCCCAGAAGGGAAATACTGTTTTTTTTTTTTCTATTGTTTTTGCTGCTGTTTACTTTTTTTTGACAGTTCTTTATATTTTTAAGATACTAGTACTGTTTTAAAAATAGGGTTGGGGGCTGGGAAGGTGGCTCAGTGGTAGAGCGCTTGCCTTGCATGCATGAGGCCCTGGGTTCGATTTCTCAGCACCACATAAGCAGAAAATAAAAAAAGCCGGAAGTGGTGCTGTGGCTCAAGTGGTAGTGCGCTAGCCTTGAGCTGAAGAGCTGAGGGAGTTCAGGCCCAGAGTTCAGGCCCCACGACCAGACCCCCAAAAAATAAAAATAGGGTCGGCAAATATTTTCTCTGTAGTTACTCTTTTAACAGAAATTTCTACAAAGTAAAAGATTTTAATTTTAATTTTTTGTTGCTAGTGTTGGAGATTGAACTCAAAGTCTTAAACCTTCACTTGGCTTTTTGCTCAAGGCTGGCACTCTATCACTTGAGTCAACCCTCTAGTTCTGGCTTTTTGCTAGCTCATTGAAGATGGGAGTCTCAAGGATGGGGAACTGGGGCTGACCTAGAACCTTAATCCTCAGATCTCAGCCTCCTGAGTAGCTAGAATTACAGGTGTGAGCCACTGGTGCCTGGCTCAAAAGTATTAGTTTCATACTTTGTATTTAGGTCTATAATTCACTTTGAGATTGTATTTTATTTTTATTTTGTATAAAATGTGGTTGAGCCAGAAACACAACAAATCAAAGAAAGGTTGGAGAAATGGGATTGCATGAAATTGCAGAGCTTCTGCATGGCAAAGGACATAGCTAGCAAGATGATAGAAAGCCCAAGGATTGGGAGAAGATCTTCACTAGCCATACAACAGACAAGGGTCTCATATCTAAAATATACCTGGAACTCAAAAAATTAAATTCCCCAACAACAAATCCTCAAAGAAAAAATTGCCCAGAAAATAAATGGGTTAAAGACTTACAGAGAATCTCTGAAGAGGAAAGAAGGATGGTCAATAGACACATGAAGAAATGCTCAACCTCCCTAGCCATAAAATAAATGCAAATCAAAACAACATTGAGATACCACCTCACCCAGTTAAAATGGCTATAATCAAGAACTCTTAATATACAACAGATGCTGGAGGGGATGTGGACAGAAGGGAACCCTACTGCTTGTTGGTGGGAGTGTAAACTTGTTCAACCAGTTTGGAAAATAGTATGGAGTTTCCTCAAAAGGCTCCACATAGAGCTCCCCTATGACCCAGCAATCCTGCTTCTGAGCATTTACCCAAATGATCACAAACAAGACCATACTAAAGCTACCAGCACAACTATGTTTATTGCAGCATTATTTACCATAGCTAAGATATGGAACCTACCCAGATGCCCCTCAGGAGATGAATGGATCAAGAAAATGTGGTATATATACACAATGGAATTCTATGCCTCCATCAGAAAGAATGACATTTCCCCATTTGTTAGGAAATGGAAAGACTTGGAAAAAATTATATTAAGTGAAGTAAGCCAGGCCCAAAGAAACATAGGTCCCATGGTTTCCCTTATTTGCAATAACTAGTATATGTCTGAGTCAAGCAGAAAAGGTCAGATAAGTTGATGTTAGTTGAAATGAACCCCAAGATAAGGACTCAATTGTTTTTTCTTTCTTGCTATTGTTTCTAACATATTTATAAGATATTTCTTTGTTACTCGGTATGTCCCTCCCCCACGATATAACCCCTGTTTTCACTGTATTTGATGTAGGTATAATTTGTGGAGGGGAAGGTGGACCCATTGCAACAGTGGGATGTACAAGATGTTACGTTGAAAAATGAACTTTACAACTTTGGTGTGGGGGTGAGGGGGTGGGGGTATGGGAGATGGGAAGGGATGGGAAGGGGAAACAAAGGAGGAGGCAACAATGATAAGAAATGTACTCATTACCTTGCCCATGTAATTGTAACCTCTCTGTACAGTATTTTCACAATAAAAAATAAAATGTGGTTGAGGTTGAAGGACAAGGTTCATCTTCTCTCCCTTTACCTGTGGTTGTCCAATTGCTATAGCTTCTTTGTTGTAGATTGGGAGAAGAGCTTCACTAGCCAACATACAAGGGCCACATATCTAGAACTCAAAAAATTAAATCACCCAAAAACAAATCCTCAAAGAAACAACCGTCCCATTAGTGGGCTAAAGACATAAAGAGAAACTTCTCTGAAGAGGAAATAAGAATGGCCAATAGACACATAAAGAAATGCTCAACTTCGCTAGCCATACAAGAAATGCAAATCAAACCAACATTGAGAATGCACTTCCCCTCAGTTAGAATGGCCATTATCAAGAAATCTAATAATAGATGCTGGAGGGTATGTGGCCAAAAGGGAGCACTGCTACACTGTTGGTGGGAGTGTGGAACTTGTTCAACTACTCTGGAAAGCAGTATGGAGGTTCCTCAAAAGACTCCATGTCAAGCTCCCCTATGACCCAGCAATGCCACTTCTGGGCATTTACCCAAATGACAAAGAAGGGTACAGCTACCAACATGACTATGTTCATTGCAACATTATTTACCATAGCTAAGATTTGGAACAAATCCATATACCCCTCAGTAGATGAATGGATAAAGAAAATGTAAGCTGGTATCTTTTTTTTTATTATTGTGAAAATAC